ATCATTTGAAAAAATTAAAATTTTACGTAATACTATCGACGAACGAACCGAGTCTAGCACAAATAGTGATGAACGATGGGAATTAATAAAATGTTTAAATAATCGCATTCAAAAGCTAAAAAAAACTCTAGGGTATCCACAACAAATACATTTACGTAAATATGTTCAGCGATACAAGCGGGATCCAGCGTTTCGTTTTGTGTTAGAAATGCTACTGGCTGACATAGAGAACATTATAACAAATAATAACAAACATAAATCGAGGAAAAGTGGGAAGTTGCTGGAAGGTATTGTCCTGGGTAACGTGCTGGATCACGGCAATCCATTCTTAGAGGTGATCGGGGATATATTCGACTGTCACGAGCTGCCTCGGGAGATCTTGTCAAAAGCGATAAGTTTTGCTGAGGATGAAGAAGCAGTCAAAGCTCTCGAGAATCTGTTCCTAGAGAATGTACACTTTGATACTGTCAACAATGGTACGCTGGCAAATATGGACGATGCACAGAAAGACCTTTACTCAAAACTCATAAAGTCACAGAACTGGAAGTCCTACGCGATATTATTGAGAGAGAAGCCGGTTAAAAAAAAACGTAACGAGAAATGAAGTTTTGAATGATCATATGTTTATTAATCAGATGCGGTATTGTTTAATCGTTGTAACTTCGATCAACAATAGCAACGTAAAAACTTTGTTTTAGTGAATTCACAAAGGTATACTATTTATACTGTCGCGGAGAACCTAACGGGTAACCGGGGTTCCGGCTCGACGTGCAGGAGAAGGAACGGGGTGGTTTTTAGTCAGTAAGAGTCTGACACTCCCTTCCGCGTCACCCAGGCGGGAGCAGTCAGTCAGGGAGTCATTCGATGATTTTCCCCCCTTAAAAAAAAAATACTATTTATACTATGTTATATAAGTGAAATGATATGTGATTTTAACTTAATGTTGGTAAACAATGTAGCCTTTTGTTATTGTTTGTTTAGTTAGTTGGTGTTGGTGTTAATGTTTTATGGTTAGTTTAGTTTATGTCTTACTTATACTTATACTTATACTTATACTTGTACTTGTACTTGTACTTGTACTTGTACTTGTACTTGTACTTGTACTTGTACTTGTACTTGTACTTATACTTATACTTATACTTATACTTATACTTATACTTATACTTATACTTGTGCCCTGTAAAGATAGTTGAAGGATGTTTTTAAATAAAAACTAATAAATAACTTGTTAAACAGAGAACAAACAGCCTCCTACTCAAAATTCAAACAGACTAATAATGTGCAGTGGTACGAGTATGTTATCGAAACTAGTTGAATAAATTATTGCTTTTGTAATGAATTTTCACTATTAAATGAAACCTTTTCTCAAATAGTTTTATTTATTAGTCTTAAAGGAAATTTAACAAAAACTAATATACAATATGGAGTTCACTCATATGACTTACTTAAAATGAAACTAAATGTAATACTCGTCCACAGATGCATAATGCATAAACTAAGTATTTGATATGTCGTGGTGGCCCGGAGGTTTAAGACGCCCACTTCTCATGCATGAGGGTGCGGGTTCGAAATCTACCAACGGCAAGTACCAATGTGACTTTTTCCGAGTTATATGTACTTTCTAAAATTATTTAGACACCACTGACAAAACGGTGAAGGAAAAACATCGTGAGGAAACCTGGACTTATAATTTCTAATTATAAGTTTGAAATCGCCAACCCGCATTGAGCAAGCGTGGTGATTAATGCTCTAACCTTCTCCGTGTGAGAAGAGGCTTTGCTCAGCAGTGGGCATTTATAGGCTGTTGATGATGATGATGCATAATACAACTAAATATTTAAACGAAATCGAAAATTAAAACTTTGAAATTATCGAACAAAATAATTTTTAGTTTTAAATTACATGCAAATACCTCCTTGTACATACATTGACCACAGAAGAGCTGTAATATTGTAGGTAGATTGTCTAAAAATGTTACAGACATACAACGCGGTTGTTACGAGGCCGTATTTTTAAAGGGTGTTCAAATTACCTCAAAGAGAAATATGTACTTTTCGGAAAAAGTGCATGAACTAGTCAGAGGCCTTAGTACGAATTTCCTTTCCTTTCAAGTAATCGAAACGTGACGGCGTTCGGCGCACTGATTGGCCGGCGCCAATGAACCAACCAATCAGAATGCCGAACGCGTACTCGTTACGATTACTTTAAACGTAAAAGAAACTCGTACCAAGTCCTCAGAGTTGTACCAGACGTAGTTACGCCTCCCAAATATTTTTGCCACGCTGGGACAGAATTTGATGCTTTGGTACAGTGAATCATGGCTGTGACACCATTTTTTTTTAACAAACGTTGCCCCTCTTTTGGATTTTCACCTGTGTCGTGGGTGCGTTTACAAACATACAAGTTCACATACACAATGACACCCAGACCCGGAACAACAATCTGTGGATCACACAAAGTGTTGTTCCGTGCGGGAATCGAACCTGCGACACGTTGCACGGCGGCCGGTTGCCCAGCCACCGCACCAACCGTGCAGTCGTTCCATTCAAATAGAAGTTGTCTGAGCTGTGGTGGAGCTGGGTGTATTTAGCTCACTGTCCTTTCATACGTTCCCGGCTGAACAATTTTGTTGCAACTCGTAACAATGGCTATAGAGATCCACTGAAAGCTGAAAGGCTACTGAAAACAATTGAGGTTGTTCATCAGTGTTATATTTTGGTTGACCACATTATCTATATTAATACATTACATAACATCACGCCTTTTATACTCGGAGGAGTAGGCAGAGGTGCACATTATGCCACTGTACAATGTAACACCCACTTTTCACCATTTATGTTATGAGTCCCATGTAATAGGAGGTGAGCCTATTGTCATATACCGGGTACAATTCCAGACTCCGTGCTACTACTGAGATTTTTTTTTAAAACCCAGTAATACTTTGCCCGACCGGGACCCCTTGCCTCGTTGGCCGAGTGGTCGCAAGTACTATGTTAATATTATAGCCGAATTATTTACAGTTCAGTTGGTAATTTCAAATAAATAGGTTTTAGACATAGTAGAGTGTTATTTTATACTAAACTGGAATGGGTTTAGTGATGTAAGAGTCCCCTATCCTAGTGTTTATCCCCAAATAGCAAGACGCCTTTTGAAATTTTAAAAAAGTAACAAAAATACCGATCTAGTGCGAGCCAGCCTCGAATATTAATTATTAATATTAAAATGCACGAAGCGCTTCGCTTCAAGCTTCCTTGTGCGTACTGCTAAAGAGTGGAATTCTTTGCCAGAATCTGTATTTCCTGAAGGGAGTCTTCAAGGCCCGAGTGAATAGGTTGCTTATGGGACGACGTGCTCCATCGTAGACCGCCAAACGTCGCCCAATCAAATATAAAAAAATATATATATAGAAGGTTCGGTAACATTTATAAAACTGACTCCCAACTTGTTCTCTTGTATAAGAGCCCCCTTAAGACTTTGACTGCCAATAAGAAACTGTTGAAGGTAAATCCTCCGCTAACGCCGGTCACCGGTGACCCCCATGGTGCTTAATGTGTTAAATATTTATTTGAATATGTTATTCAGTATTTTGTTTTAAACAGAAATGCATTAATATAAACTGCTAGCAGCCCGCCCCGGCTTCGCACGGGGTAGACAATTATTTATTTTTGGATATTTGGATTGTTGTAGTGACATAACTACAATAGTTGGACATATGCTACCGCGGAGTTTTTTGTAGACATTATGATGTTCTTCAATATTGTTGTACATTATTTTGTTCTATCGCTAATAGTTTCGGCTGCGCATTCGACGAAAGACATTTTAAGACTCATTTTTCTACACCTTTGGTTACATTGTTCAAATTTTACTAAGGAACCCTAATTTTTTTCAAAATGAAATGTAGCCTATGTCAAATTGGAAGAATGTAGCATTCTATTGGTGAATGAATTTTTTAAATCGGCCTAGTACTTTTTGAGCCTATTCATTACAAACATACAAAAATAGGTACAGATCTTTCCTCTTTAAAATATTAGTATAGATATAGATATAGATTTTCGCCTCGCTGACAGACAGACAGACGGACAGATTAGCAATACTGTCCCGTCTTACCATTTGAGAAACTATTATGATAATTTGATTAACAAATTAATTCATGAATTTCAGTTGCATCACTCGATCTAAACTTGAGAATTGTCATTGAGCTGAATTTTGTAAAAAATCAAACAATGCCAAGTTCGTACGTTGCACAAGTTACTTTACTATAGGACTAATTAATTTTAATCCGATTCATTTCGTGTGTGGTGCTAGTGATAGCGGGTTTTAAATATTAGGTAGAATAATAATAGGTATTAAACCACTATTAGGTAGATGCATCGAGATAACCAATATTAGGGTAGATGTATAATTGAGTTCATGACATCGTTATTACAGCACTTAATACCAATGTACAATGTAATGTACAGTGTAAATGGGTGATATATTTACAGTGTACATGTATGTGTATACATAAATGTAACACCCATTTTTCACTACTTATGTTATGAGTCCCATGTAATAGAGGGTGAGCCTATTGCCATATACCGGGCACAATTCCAGACTCCGTGCTTCTACTGTGATTTTTTTTTAATCCAGTAATACTTTGCCCTACCCGGGAATCGAACCCGTGACCCAATTCCCGGCAATCACACTTGCGACTACTCAGCCAACGGGGCGTTTTAATTCTATAATCTCAAAATTACAAATTTCGGAAAGAGCTTTTAAGAGCTAATATTAATGTCAACGTTATACTGTATATTGTGTTGCTCATGGCTGTACATGTACAATTCCGCGCCGCCCGTCGAGTTTAATTACAATAGGGCCTAATCCGCTGCCACTGCGCCCACACACATCGAAACACGATTACGGCAATCACGCTCAAACATATAATAAAAAAGGGATGCCGCGAAATGAGACGCCATTGTTGAAAAGACAAGTACACAAGAGAACAGTGTAATACTGAAAATATGGAGAAAATACACGCTGAAACCTTTTGGGATTTCAAAGGAGAAGGTATGTTATTGTTTGTATTACTATTTTATTAGATTGACTGTCGTGTGCCGCGTGCAGTAGAATCCTACAGTTATCACCTCTATTTCTTCTATCTCCTCTATCTCATCTAACTCCTCTATCTCCTCTATCTCCTCTATCTCCTCCATCTCCTCTATTTCCACTATCTCCTTCTCTTCAAGCGGATATCATCATCATCATCAATGCCCACTGCTAAGCACAGCCTCTTTGTCATTTCTTATTCACACTGTTTGAGCATTACTCACCACGCTTGCACAATGCGGGCTGGCGATTACAAACTTATAATTAGAAATAATAAGCCCAGGCTGCCTTAGGGTGTTCTCCTTCACCCTTTGTCAGTGATCTCTAGATAATCTTAGAATTCTTAGTGGATATCATAAGAGCCAATTAAAGCAGCGCACCTTTAACAGAGACTGTGATCTCCATACTGCCTCCCGAACATGGAGATGAAGGCACAACCTCTTATATTATCTTTTAAGGGATATTATAGTCCAGCTGTGAAATGTTCAGTAGGGCCGATGCCCCACCATTGATGCAGAAGTCCTAAGGAGTTGCCGGGACTTCAGCTCAAAGCACAAATAGATACAGGGTGGTTTTTAGTCAATAAGAATCTAACACTCCTTCTTAACTCACCCAAGGCACGGAAGGAGTCAATGGATAATGGTCCTCCGGAAAAAAGAAACAAAATGAGAGGAATTTGATGTAATGTAATGTTTTTGTTTACAGAATACAGCGATAATAAGTTTCTAATGGCCACCCCGTACCCAGTAGCGGCAATATTAGTGGTGTACCTCTGGTTTGTCCTGAAATTTGGTCCACAATACATGAAGGACAGACAGCCGTACAACTTGAAGGCCTGGCTACTATTCTACAATGCAGCTCAAGTCGTCATTTCTGTGATTATCTTCAGTTTGGTAAGTATTTTATTTAATAGTAATTCAACGAGGGAAGTGGAAACTATAGTTTTTTCTTCTTCTCCTCTTATAATATCTTCTGATTCACTTCGTTGCGGGAACCAAGACAGTTACTCATGTCCCTGGGACGCGCCGGACTTCAATGTTCCGGTGTTTTCATGGTTATATCTACTGTATTGTATCTACTTTCATGGTTGTATCCTGGCTTACAGAAGTGGCAGCGGTTTTGGGAGGTTGTGGCAGGCTTGTCCCTAAAAAAAAACTATTTTATTTATGCATAATTATCTACGCTCTAGTTTCTTAGTCCGTGTGGTCAAAGGAATTACAGCATCCTATAGATAGCCAAGTGTGGGAGAGCAATGCTTCGGCACGAACAGGCCAGCTGAACCGAAGTGATACCACGGCCTCACAGAAAACCAATGTGAAAAACGCTTGTGTTGTGTTTCGTCTTGTGATTGAGGTTACCGGAAGCCAAATTATCCCCTAATCTCCCCATTAGATTGATTAGATAGATGATAGATAATCTCCAAAAGGCCGGTAACGCACTTGTACCACCTCCGGGTGTCCATGGGCGACGCCGATTGATTACCATCAGGTGATCCGTCTGCTCGTTTACCGGCTTATCCCATAAAAAAAAACAATTTTGTACCATCACAAAGATCCTGGAGTGACATAAGGAGCAAACGAACAAACAAATCATCTTATATCTACTATTAGGTTAGTGGACGTTAGTGTGACTGCCAAACAAAGGGTCTCGGGTTCGATTCCTTGCTCAGACACAATCCTTGCTCAGACACAATATTTATAAGCAACTAGCGGACCCCATAGACGTTGTCCTGCATACCCACTTGAATGTAGAGGTATAAAAACAAAATTAATTCAAATTAGTTAAGGATAAATAACCTAGACACCGACTGCTCGCCATCTGCCGGGCTGATTTGTGAATCTAAACCAACCAGGGCGCCACTTAAACGCGTACAGAAAAGTTCATTTAAATCGGTCAAGCCATTTAGGAGGAGTTCAATGACATACACACTCACAGAAGAATTATATATATAAAGAAGATTCCGTATTTCCGAACCGATAAGACCTTTAAACCTTCAAGAAAAGAGCGTATTCCTTTTTAAAAGGCTGGCAACGCACCTGTGACTCCTCTGGTCTTGCGGGTCCATGGGCGGCGCTGATCGATTACCAGGTGATCCGTCTGCTCGTTTGCCTCCTATTCCTTAAAAAAACAGTCCGGCGCGTCTCAGGTACATGAATAACTATGTTACTTCCCGCAACGAAGTGAATCAGAAGATATTATAAGAGGAGAAGGAAAAAAACGCAGTATATCACAGTGTGGTGTGGCGAATCAGGGTTCTGTATGGTGTCTAGTTTGGTAACGTACGGACAGCACAGAGCGCGACTGGGTGGGCCGCCATCATGTCCCGGTGAAACCCCTTACACTAGACATATAAGTGTACTATGTACAGGTATGTGTCACCTCCTACTACATGGGACTCATAACAAATAGTGAATAGTGGGTGTTGCATTAAATGCCGTAATGTGCACCTCTGCCTACCCCTTCGGTGAATAAAACGCGTGACGTCAAGTTATAATAAATGTGAGGTATACGTCATTAGCTATTGTTTATTAATTAGTTCATTTTATATATGTCTATGACCCTTCTTGTACTCATATACATACAATTACAAACTGAATTCAGGTCAAGTTTCTATCATTGATTCTTGACATTACAGTTTCGTAAATTGTGTCTAGAATATTTTTTATGGGATAAGTCAAAGGAGCAGACTCGTCAGCTGATGGTTTTTTCTATAATTGACTAGCTTCTGCCCGCAACTTCGTACGCGCAATCCAGTTTTCTTCTTTTCCCGTAGGATTTTCAGGATTTGTTTCTGACAATAAAACCTTCTCCTGACAATAACAAAGAGAGGAAAAAAAACAGCCAAATCGGTCTACCTGTTCTCAAGTTATGGCGTGGCAACGGGCAACGGGTTTCTTTTATCTAATATATAAAATTCTCGTATCACAGTTTTCGTTGCCATATTCTTCCGAAACGGCTTAACGGATTTTGATTTCGAAATGTCGATCGATCGGAATTGGATTCAAGAGTAAGCTCCTGGGCTGATGATGGAATTGAAAGATGGAACCATGAACAATAAAATATTGAATTGAATTGGGCAGCCTACTAGTAAATATATCGATTTTAGGCTCATTAGACAATTATGTCCATTTCTGCTAAAGATGAGAACATAGAGACTAAAGCGTGTGTTTAGTTTTTTAACTATGAATTTATTTTCTTTCCACAATTTCAGGGTATTCGATACATATGGCGATATGGTTTATGGCATTCAACTTGCTACTGTGAAAGGGATGACCTTCGAGAACAGGTAAGTAGTTTTGACTTTGACATTTATTCTTATACTAGTTGTTGCCCGCGACTTTGTTCGCATAAAATGTGAATTTTAGGACATAACATAATCGAATTAACCTCTGATAGAAAAATACGATACGGGTATTTATCAGTTGTCTCAACTGCCTGCTTCAATGTTCCAAAATAAAAGTAGCGTTAGGTACTCCTTGTACATTAGCTACTTGCCAATAGAAGCCCCGTCAAAATTGGCCTTCCCATTCCAGAGATTAGCCAGTACAAACAGACAGACAGACAAAATTTAAAAAAAAAATCAGTTTATGTATCGCTTTTTTTATTTAGGTACTTATCTTTATATCACAAAGGTAAGTATTTTATAATCTTAGCCCCACAAAACCGTTGCAATGGTTTGACTGTGGGGTCGAGTCGCTAGATATTACAAATTGTATTTATTTACAAATACATTTGCATGTATGCATGTAGTAAAATGCGGTTGTTTTAATCTCTAGAACTACTTCGACTATTCGAAATGTCACAAAAATCGCCGAAGCGTCACCGATTCATGGTAGATGTCCCACCCACACACGCGAAGCGCTTCGCATCAAGCTTCCTTGTGCGTACTGTAAAAGAGTGGAATTCTTTGCCAGAGTCTGTATTTCCTGAAGGGTATAACCTGGGAGTCTTCAAGGCCAGAGTGAATAGGTTGCTTATGGGACGACGTGATACATCGTAGACCGCATCATTGCTTACCACCAGAGATAGTCAAATAGTGAAAAAAATTAAAAAATATTTTCATTGAGGATCACACTATTTTTTTATGGGGGGAAATCATCGAAGTCATTCGATGATTTTCCTCCCTTTCTGACAAAGTATACCTAAAATCTCAGTAGTAGCACGGAGTCTGAATTTGTGCCCAGTATATGGCAAGAGGCTCACCCCCTGGGACTCAAAGTGGGCGTTACATTGTACAGGAGCCATAAGTGCCGTAATGTGCACCTCTGAAGGGGTAGACCCTTCGGGGATAAAAGGCGTGATCTTATCTTATATGTGTTATTTTTATATGTCCATGTCCACAATGGTAATAACACTATAATAGATATTATGGAAGAAGTAAAAACCTTCTATTATGCTTGGCGACTGGGCTTCACCCAGTTGTACAGTCTCTTCTTTGTGCCTTTAGGCTTAATTCATTCTGTCTCCTGCAGTAATTCACCGAGGGAAGTGGAAACTATAGTTTTTTCTTCTTCTCCTCTTATAATATCTTCTGATTCACTTCGTTGCGGGAACCAAGACTGTTACTCATGTCCCTGGGACGCGCCGGACTTCAATGTTCCGGTGTTTTCATGGTTATATCTACTGTAGATCCTGGCTTACAGGAGTTGCAGCGGTTTTGGGAGACTGTGGCGGGCTAGTCCCATCAAAAAAAAAAAAGAAATAAAAACCTTTCTCTCACCTTTCAGCTTCTGGACGGCAGTCACTACTACTTCCTGACGAAGGTAGTAGAACTAACAGACACAATTTGCTTCGTTCTACGCAAACGACAGAGGCAGGTGACCTTCCTCCACGTCTACCATCATTCTATAATGGTGATGGCTACCTGGGCCATCGTCAAGTACTCCAGAACTGACAACACAGTGTTCCTAGGAATGATAAACTCACTAGTTCATGTGATCATGTATGCCTACTATGGTCTTTCGGTCTTCCCGGAGCTCCACAGATTCTTGTGGTGGAAAAAGTATATCACACAGATGCAGTTGGTAAGTGTTCTTTTTTAGAATTTGTAAAAGACTTCAAATAAAGGAGGAGGGTCTCAGTATGTATGTGTGTTTGTGCGCGACTATCTCGCGACTGGCTGAACCGATATTGATGCGGTATTCAGAAAAGTGTTTGTTACACTTAGGAGAAGGTTTTAGTATATATTAATTTACCGAATTCCAAAAAAGAAGGGGTTAAAGTAGATTTGTTAAACGTAGTTTATGGAAGAATTATTGAGCATTCTTATTAACATTATTCCTCTATCCACCTGGAAGTCTTTAGGGGAAGCCTATGTTAAGCAGGCGACGTTTTATGGCCTAATATGGTGATGATGATGATGATGACCATTCCTCCTTGAAACATCTAGGAGATTTAGAACGCACTAACAACAGGACTTTCGTAGTTTAAACCTTTGCAGATTTATTTCAATTTTTCGTGCAGAATTGTCTCTTTCTCTCAGACTCTTAAAAATTTTAACTAACCCTTATTATTCTAATAGACCAAAGTCTGGCTTCAAGCAATTATTTACCCAATGTTCCATGTTTCAGGTGCAGTTTTCTCTCATGTTCCTCCACATCGTAGTCGGCCACATGATTTCGGAGTGCCGTCCCGCCTATTTCCTCCTAGCCTCCGTATGCTTCAACACTGTCCTCTTCATGTACCTCTTTGGAGATTTCTACATAAAATCCTACGTCACAAAATACACCAATTTGGGCATAGTAAATGCTGGTAAAAAGATTGGCTCCAACATCGGCAGTAAGAACGGCATTAAGTACATAGTAGACCAACATATTTTAGCTAGTAAAATTCATTAATACGTCACCTTTCATTCATTAGAAGTACATGAAATGATGGATGTTAATGACTGAAAGTATACTGCGTTTCCCCACAAATATATCTTGAGGGTGTTCAAGTCCCGAGTAAACAGGTTGCTCATAGGTAGGCGTGCTCCATCGTTGGCTACATTATCGCTTACCACCAGGCGAGATGGGGTCCAACGTCGACCTACCAAGTATAAAAGAAAGAACTATATTTTGATTCGAAATGTCTAAAAATTTTTTTTTGTACAAACATTCTTAATGCTCCATTGATTTGCAATGACTTTGCTCTTTTTGTACAAAATACCAATTGGAAAAACGTTGTGAGGAATATGTGAAAATATTGATTTTTTTATTTTGATATAGAAATGAGATGTTCTGAAGTCCTATCTTTACTGTGTGATAAGTATTGTAATTTTTAATATTAGATTGTATGTTCGAATAATTCGTCTATTTTTTACTACCTACATATTAATATAAGTTGTTAGAGATAATAATTTTGTAACATTTAATATTAACAATAAGGTACCTATATTGTTATAATTTTAATAAATTTCGTACGACTCAAATGCGCTTCTTATTTCTTTACTTCTTGTAACAATGACACAATTCACATAAATATGGGCACAAATAATAAGCATACAGAACTTGTAGGTACAGCTGTACAGTCATAAGGTATATGACAAAAAAAAATACTTTTAATTCAGTACCAAAGGCGTTGAACAAGTTTGTTTTAAGTTTAGAATAATCGAAACATAAAGGCGGCTAGCCTTCTGATTGGTACATTGGGGCAGACCAATCAGAGCGCCGAACAGTAACGTTTCGATTTCATTGAACGTAATATAAACTCGTACTAAGCCCTTAGTACAGAGAGTATTTTTTTAAGGGGCCAAAATCATCAAATGCTCCCTCCTGGGTGAGGCGGGAGGGAGTGTCAGACTCTTACTGACTAAAACCCGTTCCTACTCCTGCACGTCGTAGTACAGAGAGTAACAGACAGTTTTTCTGATAAGCCCGCCACAACCTCCCAAAACTGCTGCAACACCAATGCACCAGGATCTACAGTAGATACAATATGAAGACACACGAGCACTAAAGTCCGGCGTCAAGTAAAAGTGTCTCAGCGACATGAACAGCGCCGTAAATAGGGCGGTGCCAGCGGTGCCCAGGCACAGAGCGCAGACCCTGGAGGGGCGCAGAAATGACCGGACTGTACTATCTAAATCTGTATCACATTTTTAAACGATCTTGAAACAACAACACATGTCAAACGACTCACTACACATCAGACAAATGTATATCCACCTTAAGTCTTGCTCGCAATATTACATACACAAACAAAAGTACCTATACTATAACTTTGGGCGTCTGTGCCCGCGGTGCCTGCGCCCGGAGCGCATGCGCCAGCGGGGCGAAACAAAAAAAGGAGAGGCACTCCATCCCGGCAGGCTGGAGTTGCAGCAGCGGCGGTGGAACCCACCCCGCGAGCGGAGGACGGCGGTGGGTGGCAAATCGCTGATGAGGCGAGGATAGTCGCCAAGGAGGGCCGTAAGCGCCGCAAGAAGGCGCAGTGGCAGCGACATTGGGCCGGACCTGTCGGACGGCCAGTTCGGATTCCGCAGAGGGCGCTCCACGGTGGATGCCATCATGCGCGTTAGGGACTGGACGACGGGGACTGCAGTGTCCAGGGGTAAGGTCGTTGTGGCGGTGTCCGTCATTTACCCCGGTCACCGGGGCGAGTGGAACCGGCGAGAGATGTCACAGGTGTTCCACAGGGTTCGGAACATCGGCTATGACTGGGTGCTGCGCACCGACCTCCCGAACGGCGTTAGCATCATATGCTACGCCAACGACACGCTGGTGCTAGCGCACGGGACGTTGCACCAAGCGGCGGCCGACTTAATGGCGACAGCGGTTGCGACAGTTGTTGAGAGAATCCGGCAGTTGGGACTCGAGGTGGCGCTCCACAAGTCCAATGGCTATGTGTTTTCATGGCTGCGGGAACGCGCCACCTCCGGGTGCGTCCCAAATAACGGCGGGAGGGGTTACCATCGGCGTCGAGACGACGATGAAGTACCTGGGACTCGTCCTCGACAGTCGATGGAACTTCGTGGAGCACTTCCGACGTTTGGCTCCAAAGTTGGAGAGGACGGGGGCTGCATATAAGCGCATCCTCCCCAACCTCGAGGGGCCAAACGCCTCCTACCGGAGGTTATACGCCGGGGTCGTGCGGTCCATGGCCCTCTACGGCGGCCCTGTGTGGGCGCCGAACCTGTTGCGGCGGCCCACTCGGGCGTTGCTCATGTCACAGAGGGTCATGGCGATCCGAATGATCCGCGGATACCGCACGGTCTCTGGGAAGGCGGCGAACCTCCTTGCCGGCGAACCTCCTTGCCGGATTACCGCCGTGGGATCTGGAGGTGAAGGTGCTCGCGCGCGTGTATCGCATGCGCCTGTCTCCGCACGTCGCCAGGGCGAAACTCCGCTGCCGCGCCAGATAAGTGCGTGGCGGGAAGAGCTCCGGCGCGATCTCATAGCGGAATGACAGCAACGAATTGTCTTAAAACATCTGCTAAGTACCGACCTAAGTATAACTTGGTACACAATAAACAGTTATATTTTCATGCACATTTGTCCATTTTATTGTCAGAGCCTGTTAAGGACATTTTTCAAGGGCGCAGTTTTGAAAGCTCGCACCGGGCGCCTAGAAGGCTAGTTACGGCACTGGACATGAATAACTCTTTTTTTTAACGTTGCCCCACATCATCATCATCATCATATCAGCCACAGGACGTCCACTGCTGAACATAGGCCTCCCCCAATGACTTCCAGATAGGCCGGTTGGTAGCGACCTGCATCCAGCGGTTCCCTGCGACCTTAATGAGATCGTCTGTCCACCTTGCGGATGGACGTCCTACGCTGCGCTTGCCGGTACGTGGCCTACACTAGTGTTTTATCCTGTGTCGTGGGTGCGTTTACAAACATACAATGTCACATACACATGACACACAGACCCGGAATAACAATTTGTGTATCACGCAAAGAGTTGTTCCGCGCAAGAATCGAACCCGCGACACGACGGCACCAACCACAGAAATATTAAAAAAGTAATATATCTGTGGCACCAACCGTGCAGTTAACTGTCTTTTTAAATAACATTTTTTGACTGCCTCATTGGCCGAGTGGTCGCAAGTGCGACTGCCGGGCAAGGGGTCTCGGGTTCGATTCCCGGGTCGGGCAAAGTATTACTGGGTTTTTATAAATCTCAGTAGTAGCACGGAGTCTGGAAAAATGTGCCCGGTATATGGCAATAGGCTCACCCCCTATTACATGGGACTCATAACATAAATAGTGAAAAGTGGGTGTTACATTGTACAGTGGCATTAAGTGCCGAAATGTGCACCTCTGCCTACCTCTTCGGGGATAAAAAGGCGTGATGTTATGTTATGTTATTTTTGTAACCATTGGGAGGCTATTTACGCTCAGTTAATTAAACATTTGTTAATTACCCTCTAAAAGTTTTAGAATGCACCCAGCTTACTGAAGGAAAATACAGAATACTTTTAGTCAAAATTGATGGTCGACGCGCTCTATCGTAGACCGTATCATCACTTACCACCAGGCGAGATAGTGGTCAAACGTCGCCCCAACGAATATAAAAAAATTATATTTTACATTCGAAATCGATACCTGTATATACTGGAATTTGGTAAATTCTTATTATGAGGAGATATGATCTTGACTCACGGGATTTCTTTCATGTCATATCGTCCCACAATCTTATAATTTCCCAAGGCATTTGCTAGATAGGTTCTCTGATCGTGACGACTTAATACTATTCACATAGGTATGTACACACGGCCACACATCGATCTATACAAAACCAGTTTATCCTGGTGTCGCGTCGCATCATCTTTCCGCACATTTAACGTTCAGTTTTTACTGGTTATGTAAAGCTTGATATTTAGCCGTGTGTACGTGTACTTACATACTTACGTTATATATCTCTGTTCTAAATATTTCTGTGATTCAGATGCCTTTTTTAAGCGGGGAAAATCATCGGGTCTTACCACAAAAATTATATATTTGTGGCTAACGTTGTCCAATAGATATTTCCCAGTATAAATCTAGACCTAGACGATACATACTTGTCTGACACTCCCTCCCGCCTCACCCAGGCGGGA